CCCTTGCAGAGTTGATTATTCGCTCTTCGTTGATCATATGGGATGAGGCCCCTATGATGCACAAGCATTGTTTTGAAGCTGTTCAAGCTTCTTTTAAGGCAATAATGGGAGCAATCGACCCGGCAAATCATCATAAACCGTTCGGAGGCAAGACTGTTGTGTTTGGTGGAGACTTTCGACAAATCCTGCCTGTAGTTCCAAAGGGGAATCGTCAGGAGATTGTTAATGCTGCTATTAATTCTTCTACCATTTGGGGAGACTGTACTGTGCTTAGACTTACAAAGAACACGCGTCTTCAGAGCATTGGCGATTCGAATGAACGTGACGAGCTAGCCGCTTTTGCTGATTGGATAGCGAGCATCGGAGATGGCACATTGGGGGGTACAAATGATGGATGTGCTCCGATAGACATACCAGATGATCTATTACTAGAGCCATCCGATGATCCAATTGCAAAAATCGTTGAAAGCACGTATCCGATGTTCAAGAATGCGACCGATGATCCAAGTTACTTGAAAGATAGGGCTATACTCGCGCCAACACTCGAGATCGTAGAATCTATAAATGCATACATGTCGTCGTTGAATTTGATTGAAGGACGCACGTATTTAAGCTCAGACAGTACGTGTAAATCTGACTCCAATACCGACTTTCTGGCACAACTCCACACTCCTGAGTTCCTGAATACTATCAAGTGTACTGGAACACCGAATCATGAGTTGAATTTGAAGGTCGGAACTCCAGTTATGTTGTTGCGGAATATGGATCACTCAATGGGACTCTGTAATGGTACACGATTGGTTGTTACCAAACTCTCCAATCATGTTCTCGAGTGTAAAATTCTTACTGGCGATCATGCAGGTGATAAAGTTTTGATACCTCGAATGACCATAACTCCTTCGGATGTTAGAGTACCATTCAAATTTCAAAGAAGGCAGTTCCCCATTGTGGTTTCGTATGCAATGACTATAAACAAGAGTCAAGGTCAATCATTATCTCATGTTGACTTATTCTTGAAGAAACCAGTTTTTAGTCATGGCCAGTTATATGTCGCTGTCTCCCGTGTTACTAATAGAAAGGGTCTTAAAATTTTAATTTGTGGAGAAGAAGGTTTGAAAGCAAATCAAACCAATAATGTTGTGTATAGAGAAGTGTTTAATAATATATGATTTTTTTTTTTTTTTTTTTGGTAATTTGTATTTCTCTCTATTTTTTTCTATTACAATCAAATTATTAATTTATAAACAAAAATATTAAATAAAGTTTAGACAAAAAGGTTTGAGAAAATAATCCCACCGTACTGGGTACTACATTATGTTTCCGAAAAAAGTATACAGTCCGTGCATCACGGGTTACGTACTAGTTTACAGAAAACAAAATATAATGTTAGTAACATGAACTGAATCCCAAGCTAAAATTCAACAAATCGAAGTATATCGTGTCACACCTTTAGAACGCTGTATAACTTCACTTCTCTATGGGACGGGATTTTCATTAATTTCAAGCCACAAAACAACTCCTTAACGCATTATGATAATTTTACTGATCAGGCGTAGTCACCTTCTACTGATAACAAAATCATCACCAATATCCACCCTACAGATGCAAATTATGATGTCTTTGATTCCATAAGAGTAAACATCATCAAAGCATGTAACACAAGTACACAACCAATANCAAACACATCAGTCTTGCAAGAAACTAGGCACTATTTCTACTAACATAATTTTTACATTTTATTGTTACAAACTTATTTCGCTCTCCATCTCAATACATGTCTGGGCATATATGGGCCACGAAATAGGCCGCCCTTCTTGCAGTTTCCCCACCATCTTCCGCCACAGCCTAGTGGCACTGCACAAATTATAAATTATCATCAAGCATCATTGTCGATAAGACCAATCCCTGCACAAACTCACTCCTCTTTGCCTTCTCCTCCTTATCTTTGACCGACATTGGAGGCTGCTCAGCTTTTCTGTATACACGAGTGAATTCAGTAAATATTAACAATCATCATGATTTTTTCTTCTACGGACAGTGAAGATTCTAAAGCATAGGAATTCACAAACCCTAAGATCCCTGCTAATGTGATATTAGGTGACACTAAAAAAAAAATTGTTCTATTCCAACGAAAAATCCTATGGTAATACATCCCAATAGAAATTACAACGGAATGATTCCAAAGGAAATTCCAATGAAAATATCTGTTGGAATGTGTTTTTCATTGGAATTTTAGATGGAATTTGATAATTCCAACGGCTATATTTCCAAAAAGGAATTTCCGTCGGAATTTTTATTTCCAACACCGTTGGAATCGTCAAAATTCAACGGAGATTCCAATGGAAAACTCATTCCAACGGAATATTTTTGTATGAATTTCCGTTGGAATCCACTGAAAAAATTTCAATGGAAATAATAACATTAAAATATTCATTGGAATTGCCGTTGGAATTCTATTAAAATAAATTTTCGTTGGAATTTCACAATTTTCTTGTAGTGTGCCCACACATCACAGACACAAAAAGAAATCAAACAAAGTATAGTTTTGTTAAAAGTAATAGCCATGGTTCACACCACCGACAGATATTCACGTTTATTGTACTTCCTCACCAAAACAACCTCCATTTCCCATTTTATTGTCATTATCGATTTGTTAAAAAGTAATAATCATGCCGAAGTTCTCTCATCAGAAAACGCATGCACCACCTTTACACTGTCATAGTATCATGTTGATTGGAATGCATCCATTTCAAGTCTCACCTATTAAAGAGACTGAATTTTGGGTTCTTAAACTGAATATTACGAGAAGAAAATCACTGTGGAGAAAAAAGAGAGAAAAAAAAAAGGTATCTCCAATGGTGAAAAAAACAATTCATTAACCATAATGTACAAAACTACTATCCTTGACTTCAAAATTATCTAGATGATACAGACTCACGAAGAAGATCTAACAAGGCCAAGTCCCAGAAAAACGAAAAATGGCGATGCACTTCCATGTGCATAACTCACATTTATGGGGGAAATGAGAAATTCTCATTCTATCGGACATTATTGTTCTTTTTTCTTTTTTCCTTTTTTCTGGGCCTTCTATTTTTGTTTCTTAATTACATTCGCTAAAACTCGTGTTTCTAATAATGTAGAATCACTTCAGGACGAGTCGGCTTCTTTACATAATCCTATCAAACTGACTGGAGAAAAGTGACCATTAAGCTCCATCAGAAGACCCCCAATGTCTTCATTGAAACATGCATGCATATGTTTGACGAACATGTTTCTAGGTTTTGCTAAGGTATAAAGTTGAGCAACAAAGATTAGTTAGCTACCAAACAAATCCAAGATATTCCTGCCTCTTTGTTCATTTGACAGCAATGTCAAACATAAACCACATCCACAGCAAAAACTAAGACCCCAGGAGATATTTCTTACTATTTATTATCATAGATCTGAACTACCACTCTACATTGAAAAATAAAGAGTAGAGCTGCACATGTAAACCAGACACCAATGCCAGTCTTCTATCACATTCAAGTGTGACCAAACATGGTAGTATATATTCTTGCACTAAGCATCACATGCATTAACGACAATAGTGCATCCTGATGAAGACACGGTACATAACAAAANAAAAAAAAAAAAAAGAAAAAAGAAAAGGAAACCAACTGATATATACCTCTCTGAAATGCCATTACTCGCGCTTTTCTCAACTAAAGTTTTTTCAGCTGAAGTGTGTGATGGAACACTTTCATAATCTTCAGCCATCGGCAAAATGAATGATGACAACAACGGGTCAGCCACCGCATTATTGGAGGACCCAATGCATGAGGAAGAGCCTCCAAAAAGGGACTGAAAATTCCCTTCTCTCAGCTCCCGCCTCAAGAAAGAGAGAGTCGAATGCGAAGCTTTTCGTAATTTCCTCTTGCGCTGCATGTACTGTGTAGTCAAGGATCTCAAGGGGCATGGAGAATTACATCTATTGTACAGCTAACGTTAAACAGCCAATTGAGCATGATATGAACATGAACTTCTTAAAATTAGCAGATTTCTGCTTATTTCTACTTGTATAAAGTCAGCATGTTGCAAAAAAAAAAAAAAAAAAAAAAAAAAAATTCCAATTAACTCCAACCGCAATCTTGGGGACATATTCACAAACAGACCACATAAAACAATTTTTTCTTATTCAAGAATGGAGGGTAAGTTGAAGACAAGCACACTATAGCCGCAAAAACAGATAAAAGAAATAAAAGACGAAAAATATAAAGGATATCTTAAATATGTTTCCGTGTTGCAAGGTTATATGAGCTACCATGTCGACTCCAACCCTCATTGAACAAATTGGACAAACCTGCAAGATTAACCTTATGATTAATTAACATCTCAACAAAATGACATCTGAAATTATCACACCAGATACGCAATGGGCAAGGAGACCATGCATGATAAAGTCCTCGAGAGAGAAATTCATAACAAAAGGTAGTGTTCTAGAACAATCACAGTAAACAAATGAACTCAAGTGCAATATATTGATCAGATGAAAGAAAATGTTAAAAAGATGGGATACAAAGAGCTGGTAAGTTTGTCTGTTTTGAAGTTGCTATAGCCTTGACCTTCAAGAGCTCACAAAGCCCGAGGGTCCTTAAAACAAACTATCCACCTCTCAACAAAGAGATAAAAGGAAGAAAATGCATACCTCAAAACATATGTAAATCGCCATGTCAACATGTCATTAATCAAGTAAGAAATAATCTTTTGGTACTCTATTTGGAAGTTACCCGTGAATATCCTACATTTCAATGATTTTGTTCCTAAACACTTAATCGTTATGCATAAAAAATTGAACTTTACCCCATTCTTGGCTTCTACAGGATGCTCATCGTCTATGTGGCAACAAAGTCCCACGATATCGAAATACTCTGAACAAAAAGGACAAGGATATTCCTCCCTTATACCATCATCCATCTCGATTTCCTCAAAACCCATCAGCATATCTGAATCGAAACTATCCCATCTCATACCTACAACAAGATACACATACAGGAAACCAAGGTCAGACTGATAAAATCACTGTCCTATCTTGATATTGAGATTTCCAGTCTAAGCAAGGGAATTCAAAGGTCAATATCGCAGAATTACCCACAAGGTTACCATTTTTCATTTGATGTGAAGATGTAGCAAGCTCGAAATACAATTCAAATAATTTTATTCAACACATCCCACAGTTCATGCCATACTTGCAAAACCTACGACTCAATAGGACACATACATCCATCCTTACGCACATAAAGCCTTTAAAAATGAAATCTTTAATGAAAATTAAAACAACTCAAACCACTATCAAGAACCCTAGATGAAAAATCCATGATATAATTAAATAGAAGATAAATAATAGGAAGAGGCGTTTACCAGATCGAGATTGAAGCGCAGATTGATAGCGCTTGGAGGCAGAGGACAGACGAGCAGACCAAGAGTTAGCATCCATGGCTGTAGCTTTTATCTTTTTTTTCTTGCTAACCTCCAAATTTAAACAAGAAAAAAGAAAACGGTTAGCAAATCTGAGCTCCCTTCTTGTGAAAAGCTAATGAAAACTAATGTCCGATCAATGAAATTCTTTTAAGGACACAGCTTTTCTTGATTCGCGGGATTTTGTGAGGAGTGAGATGAGATTGGATAGTGGTGAGGTTGAGAGGGAAAGAGAAAAATGTTAAATAACAGAGGGCTTTCTTGCCTTACGCACGGTGAAAATGAAAATCCACCGAAAGGGAAGAGAGCGTTTGTTTTCCACTCAGTTTTTATATTCGTTTTTTTGTGTTTTTTTTTTCCCCATTTTCTTTTGGCTTTTCTTTCATTTCCCTTTATGGATTTTCTGTATTTCGACAGCTTGACATGCAGAGGTTGTCTGACTTTAGTTACAACTTTTACACCAAATCTAAGATGAGATTTTGAGCATATCTTAAGAGGTAAAAATGGTTTATCATATATCACTTTAATGGACATTAATTAATAATTACAATCTCATTTTCAGATACACTGCGGTGAACCTTTTTTTGCACCTGGCTTATTACAATTTTTAACTGAAGCCGCCTACAAAAATCGCTCGTCTTGCATTAAGGGCGTCAATGAGATGAAAAAATTCATTTTGTAGTCTTGGTTGAACATTGTAGCAATTTTAGTCTTAAAATTTCAATACTTCGCTTTCTAATCTTGTGATTTAATATTTTATTATAATTTCAGTCATTTGGTAAGAGTGGTACACGGACCACGAAGTTAACCTGTAAGAAGAAACTCCTTCGCTAATTCGAAAGTAAAATTGCAATAAACTCTCAAATTCTCGGATTTTTTATTAGTAATTCACATAGTTTAAAATTTCGTTTTGATATCAGTCTTATATTTTAAAATTTTGTTGCAATTTCAATCCTCAAATGGCAGAAATTGCAACAAAATATTAAATCAGTAGACCAAAAGGTGAAAAATTGGAATCTTTGAACTAAAATTGCTATAATATTAAATCAACAGGAATAGAAATGCATTTTTCCATGAATATAAATATACCCAGCTTTGATTTTTTTTAACAAGTATTAATTTAAAAAAGTTGTTTTGGTTAGTTTTTCATGGAATTTTAAGTTTGTATTAATATGATATTTAAAATAAAATAATTATTAGTTTTTATTTTTCGAAACGATAGAAATTTTATAGATAGAACACAAAAGTACAACTAAGAAACAACCCAACAGGTAGACATGGTCATGGGTCACTCGGCCCAATGACCCGATCCAGACCCAGCACATTTCAGGCCCAATCAGACCCGTTGACCATGGGTCCAAGTCGGATCAAGGTAAAGCAACGGTAGATTTTTTTTTTAGGATGGGTCACAGATCCTGATCGTGTACCCCGACCCGTACCTAGGTACGGGTCGTTTCAGGGTCAGTGATTTTGAACCCGGCAACCCACCCAGCTCGAAATTTGTCCATATCTACCAACAACCGAATAAAGCACTACAAAAATAATCATTTTTAGTGGCGATAATGTTTGTCGCTATATGTTCGAATATCGTCACAATATCATTTGTGTCAATAATACAAGTCGTTGCTTGATTGTTGTTGTAAATACTGTGACTAAAGGTATTAGCAACTACTACCATAATCATCATTAGATCAAATTTTTAGTCACATTAAATATAGTTACTAAAAATTAATTAATTGTTACAAACATTGCTTGTAACTATAAATGGATATTATAGTGATGAATTTGTTTGTCACTATATTTAAACCATTTAGTCACAAATATTATTGTCGTATAATATGTGTTGTAGTCACTTTCAATTTTTTATTGTCGTAATAATATGTGTTGTATTCTAATAATCTTCTAGGTGCATGAAATAATTTTTGTAGATTTCTATGGTCGTGCATCTTGAACACGAGAATCATTCACTTATGCAGGGTTGTCCTAATAGCAAAAGGGAATGGAAATTGATATGCAGTCCACCTACTAGTACTAGTGAGCCTGCGACAGATAATGGAAAAGAAAAGAAGAAATTGAGGATGCTTGGATACAAAATTTATCCAAAAAATCCAAATATTTTTAACTCAACCACTTTTTTTAACTCAACGTTAACTCAACCCAACTATCATTACTATTATTAATATAATTAAAAAATATCAACCAATCATTCTTACATATCACATCAACCTTAATTCACTATTCATCCACTCACATAATTTTAACTAACCATCACTTCAAATCTCTCTCTCATACTTTTACATCAAATCAACTTTAATTATTTTATTTTATATATTATTTTAATATATCCACTAACAACTAACCATACCACTTTTTTCAAAATTAACCAAACTAAACCAAAAAATCCAAAAAACAGGTAATTGAGATGGTAATTTTTATTACCAATTTTAAATTTATTGTCCTGTTAGTATAGATAAGGAAAAAAAGAGAACTAAACGCATATATAATTAGCATGGCATAAATAAAAAAGATTGTGCTATTTTGTTTCTTATACTAACTCTTAATGAATATTTGAAGCACTCCAGAAATTTAGCTGAAATTGTAAATTATAAATTTGATGATAGGAAATGTTACCCTCAACCAACCACTATGGAGCGCCGAAATAAAAAAGATGTAAGAAAAAGCGAGAAGCTATTATCACCATACCGTACCTGCATGCTAACAACAACATCTAAATTCAACAAAAAGTAGTGTTTATCCCATCGACTAATGGCTCGACGGACTGAGCGCGTTCTATTATGCCGTCAAGCTGCACCACCAACCGAGTGCATACAACCTCCATCTTTTCTATTCGAGTTGTTTGGGCCGACATATGAGCAAGAAGGAGATCGAATTTTTCATCATCCGTCAAAGCGTTCCCCCGATGTTCATTAACCATAAGGAAATCGGGGGAAGAACTGTAAACTCGATCCTCCAAGACTCAGATAAGTTCCGCTAGGTTTTCGACTTCGGCCTTAAGCCCGTACGCTTCTATTGGCTACTGGAAATAGGGTTACGCCCTTTCACATACCAAATTTACCTTAATGTTGCATGAAATTACAGCTATGCCAATTTTTAGGGTGGTCAACAGCCCTCCACATCTGACCCGATTTATTCTCATTTCTTTCATTATCTCCCATTCTCATATGATCCCTTCTATATATATATATATATGTGTGTGTGTGTGTGTGTGTGTGTGCGTGTGTGTGTGTTCAAGTAAGAAAGGTGCTCAATGAAATAAATAAGAATAAATCGTAACTATTAGATCAAATGATCTAATGACTAAATAAAGCCAAAATTATTACTTCATTAATGGTAATGTGGTAATTTTAACACAAACAGTGGGACCCATGCCACCACAAATGCACTAACACGTGGGACCCACCTACCACCTCATCCCTATATTTCTTTCCCTATATATTAATTCAAAACATGTTGAGCCTAAGTGACAGATTTTCACGCTTCGGATGCTGACATGACGAAAACCTATGCTTCGTAATATTGTTTATATATTCATTTTTGCTCTGGAGTTAGGTTTGGTATTAGACATAAATAATTGTTTTTCAAACTTGGTAAGTGTATATTTAATTTTGTTATTTTTTTTCTCTTAGTACACATTTTTTTTCTTAGTTTGAGCAAGTAACAATCTTACCCTATTATAATTTTCTCTCATATTTTTCTCGTAAAGTACGATTTACAAATCACTTTTTGCATTGTCTATTTCTGTTTTTTTTTTCATCAATTAATCCATAAAAAATTTTAAATAAAAAAATTATTTTATCAATAACTTTTATCATATATTTCTTAATTCACCCGTGTAGTACATATACATTGTACTAATCTCTCTTACACATAAATACCCATACACATGCCACATTAGCCTCACCCACACACAAACACACGCCAGACAAGCACACACATAACACACGCACACACACACACATACACACATTCACACATTATCGACAACCACTGGCCTGTTGCCGGCAACCACTCTGCCCGCTGGTAATCACGTGTATTACATGGATTGCATCACATGGACTATGTACTAGTTGTGATTAAATGAACAAGAATGGATGTCTTACAAATCATCTAGAATTATTCTTTAATCGAAGTTGGAAATCCTTGACCCAAAGCAGTCGTATCCAAAGCGCTGTCTCCACACTTTTAATACACCTGTGGGTCCCGGCTATCCGGGCTTCCACTTTCGTTCTTCCTTGTTGCTGTAACTTCTCCCCGTACCAGAATTTTACAACCAGCCTGAAGTTCAGCTCGAGCCTTTTCTCGATCTCATTGATCAGATTTTCAGCTTAGTTTGAAATCCAGTAGACCTAATGGCCCACTCCTCATTTTGCCATTCACGGATCTGATTTGAAAATTAACACGCTTTTTAGTTTGATTTCATACGTCTGTTCATCTGTTGTAGATTTTGTAGAAATTTTTTTGATCCTTTAATTGATGGCGACGAGGAATAGGACGATTTTGTACAGAAGGTATAGAGATGCCCTGAAAAGCGTCAGGGTTCCAGCTGGCTCGTCACCATCGAGCTCCGGCGGCGGGGGAGGTCCCGTGATCGAGCTATCGACGTCTTCTTTGCTTAACCCTAACCGATCATATGCTCCTCTAAGTACTGAAGATCCAGGAACCTCCAGGTATTTTAATTCAAGAATCTATTTTTTTTTCGTTAAAACATTATAATTGTCTTCTGAATTACTTTCCCTATGTGATTTAGTTCTACCATATCTTGAGTTGAGGTGAATAAATTATTACCATTGGCGAGTCACGGGTGAGATTGATTGGTTTAAGTTGGGAAATTCTATTGTTATGCACAGAAGACTGAGTTTTGATTCTATAGAAAATGAAGTTTATTTTGATGGCTCTTTTGACTGGGGGAAAATATTTTAGGTAAAATGAAAGGTATTAGAAAATGTGATGCCTGGCAAAACCTTCCAAGTCTTATCAATTGCCGTTAAAGTATTCTACGGCACAACTAAGGGAAAAACTGAATGTATCCTCCGGTTCCTCTTGTGAACCTAAGTATGTTTTTGGTACTTATTCTGAGAAGATAAAGAATTCCTGGAGAACTTACTTGTAACCGACATGGTCTTTATCAAAATGGCATGGAAAAGCAAAATGGTGAGAACGCTTTCAGTTTCTGGTCATGAATATTGTGTCAGGAGTGTAGTTCATATCCTAATTGATTACACTCTAGTGGTGTATCAATTATGTATCCCATTGGGTGCAGATTCCTATAGACTCATCTTTTTGTTTCACAAACTCTCATATCACAACATGTGCATAAATTGTATTTGTATTGTGATGACTTGGATATCGATTGCCATGGATGGTGTAGTTGAAGTCTGGATGTGACTTCCATTGGTCCTCAAGTTTCATTCTTCCTAATGAACTTAATTTATTTTATTAGAGATACTTTTCAGTTTTCTGTATGTCCGAGAAAGACAATAAATTGGTAGAACTCTAATACTGAGCCTGTCATATGCTTGGGAGCAGTTTGTTTTCCATGATAGTCAGGCGATAGGGGTCTGTAGGTCACTTCAAGTTGGTACAAGACCTTTTT